GGTGTATGATGAGTGGTGTATGATGAGTGGTGTATGATGAGTGGTGTTTGATGAGTGGTGTATGATGAGTGGTGGTTGAACAGCTGTTGAATGTCCGTAACACGGAAGTTTTGCACACTAAACTTCCTTTGACTACTACTACTACTACTACTACTACTACTACTACTACTAGCGTTCCTGTGGCCAGTAACAAGAAGCTACTTGGAGCAACGCACCGCTACGAGTAACAAAGGCCATTGCTACTAGTAGCTTTCCTTTTGCTAGTAGCAGTAAGCTATTACGAACAAGGTCTACTAGGAACAAGGGCACCGCTACTAGTAACAAAGAGCATTTCTACCAGTAGCATTCTTACTACTAGCAAGACGCTACGTAGGAACAAGGGCATTTCCAGCAGGAGCATTCCTACTACTAGTAGCAAAACTCTACTACGAACAAAGGCCCTACTACCAGTAGCATTCCTACCACTAGTAGGAAGATGCTACTAGGAACAAGGGCATCACTACCAGTAGCATTCATACTTCTAGTAGCAAGACGCTACTAGGAACAAGGGCATTACCAGCAGTAGCATTCTTACTACTAGCAAGACGCTACCAGGAACAAGGGCATCACTACCAGTAGCATTCTTACTACTAGTGGCAAGACGCTACCAAGAACAAGGGCATCACTACCAGTAGCATTCCTACTATTAGTAGCAAGATCCTACTACTAGTGGCAAGACGCTACTAGGAACAAGGGCACTGGTACCAGGGGCATTCCTACTACTAGTAGCAAGACGCTACTACCAGTAGTTTTCCTACTACTAGTAGCAAGACGTTACTAGGAACAAGGGCATCACTACCAGTAATAAGCATTCCTACTACTAGTAGCAAGACGCTACTAGGAACAAGGGCATTGGTACCAGAAGCATTCCTACTACTAGTAGCAAGACGCTACTACCAATAGCTTTCCTACTACTAACAGCAAGACGCTACTAGGAACAAGGGCACCGCTACCAGTAGTATTCTTACTACTAGTAGCAAGACGCTACTGGGAACAACGGCACCACTACCAGTAGAATTCCTACTACTAGTAGCAGGACGCTACTAGGAACAAGGGCATCGC